TTTGTAATTTCTCCTATTGTCTAGTCTTTTGATTCTTCAAAGATTGAGTTGTTTTCCTGAGTTTAGTAAATCAGTGTTGTTAAGAGCACAGAGCCCAGAACACAGGCAGATCTGTGTTCGCATCCTCGCTCTGCCACTTCCTAGCGATGCCTCCTTGAGCTCGTTATTTCAGCTCCCGGTGCCACCTCTCCTTGCCTGCGAAATGGTTTATCATCGACACCTACTTTGCAGTGAACAAATAAAATAATGAATGAAGGCAGTTGGCAGAATGCCTGGTACGTTGTTACTGTCACTGTTACTCTACGTTCCTTTAAGAACTGGGACTCTTTGGGACCAGCAGTTAATGTAATGGCTATGTCACTGAATTCCCATGTAGTCAACCGCAGTTCGAGTCCCAGACCCAGTGGCTTAAACTCACGCCGGTGCATGTGCGTGCGTGCTCAAGATCCTGAGAGGAGAATGGAGGAGAAGGGATTGCAGCATGGCCATCCCCCCTGGGGAGTGATCTCTCGCTTTCTATCTCTCTGTCTTTCTGGTGAGCACATGTGCCCTGTAGCAAAAATCTCTAAAAAAAGAACTGGGATTCTTTTACTTTCTACCCTTCCCTTTCTCCTCCTGAACACTTTGCCAGTCCCATAACAGGCACATAAGAGGCAATGTTCATTGAACAAATTTCTAGGTCTCTTCCTGTCTTCATCCAGGTGCTCTTGAACTTAGGACTTAATGCTAGGAGTCTCCAGCTCCTTCCCAAGTAAACAACTCTCTTTGTGTTTGGGATTTAACCAAAGAAGGCAATATTGCATAGTGGTTTGTGATGCACAGTCCAGAATTAGACTATTTGTTTTCACTCCTGGTTCTGCTATTCAGTAGCTGTATGGCCTTGAACAGATTGCTGAACTACTCTGTGTCTATTTTCTCACCCGAAAAATAGAGAGAATAATCGTTCTGTATGGCAACATCAAGATAACTAATAGAGTCAATTCTTTAAACAGTAACTGTCACTTGACAAAGTTTATTATTAAGTTGTTATAGCCTCTCAAAGATAATCCGGGAAAGGAGTTGCTGCCCATAGTCATTTCAAAAAGTTGTTGGGAGGGGACCAGCACTTGGTGTAATGACTATGTCACAGGACTCTCACATAGTCAACGGTGATTTGAGTCCTGGACCCGGTGGCTTAAACTCACGCTGGGTGCATGTGCGTGTGTGCCCAAGATCCCGAGGAGAATGGAGGAGGAGGAGGAATTGCAGCGTGGCCATCTTCCCTGGGGGGTGATTTCTCGCTCTCTGTCTCTCTGTTTCTCTCTGTCTTTATGGTGAGTGCATGTGCCCTATAGCAAAAACCCCTCCAAAATAAAAAAATTGGTTGGGGTAAACTGACCCTAAAGCCCAGAATTCTTCCTCTAAGCCATTGTTTGACATGCATTATAAATTGATCCCATTGTTGCAGTCACCGGTGGCCTAATAAGCATTGAAATTCCTGAAATATGAAGACTTAATCATAAATGTTATTGTCAACAAATAATTTTGCATTTTTTGTTTCTTGTGCGTGTGTGTGTGTATATATATATATATATATGGTTCCCCATTACTCACCCTCTGCCATATCCCACTCTCCTCCCACTCTATATCTGGTATCTATAGTTGCTTTCCATTCTTTTTTAATTTTTTCCCCCATTTCATTGAGTCACAAAATATTTTAGTTAATCTAAATGCTTCCAATAGCAAGTTCAGCAGATATTTACATATCTGTGAACACATATTGCTTTAGGCATGAAACTATGGGTAGAATGAATATACTATAAAGTAGCACCTAGCTGAGGCTATATGGCTTACTGTGATCATTAAATAAGTATTTTTTAATAAATTTTTTAACTTCAAGAAAGGCTTTAATAAATCAAAATCAAAAAAATGTTAAGAGAACTTTGCTTAAGACTTAAAGCCAGGAAACAGGTTAGGATTCTGTTCGAACAGTAGGCACATGGACCTGTCCACAGCTCAAGAGAAGACAAAACTCCTTAACTCCGGAAAACAAAGCATAGAAGATCAGTAATGTTTTAGTCAAAAGTCATAAAATTCTGTTTCACCAGTTCAGACTCATGTACTTTTTCTTTCACGCACTGTATAACCACTGCCAGCTCATGTGGAGAATCGTCTTAGTTTGCTTCAAAAGTGAGATGCAGTTCCACATCTGAGAGGTTTTTTTGGGGAAATACTAGAGGTAGTTTATCCTCTGAGCCAGAGGATAGAGCTGGGGTGGATGAGAGTAGGGGAGTTTGGTTTTATCCACTTAATATGTAAGTGTAGAATGCTTTCTCTGTCCAGGAGAGTGACAATTCGGCAGACAGCCAGGGTGGCAGACATGAAAACATGTTAAGCCTGGCAAGGTGGAACAGGTGCTGTGCGAAGCAGGAGCAGCAGCAGGGAGGGCAAGGAGCAGGCAGCCACTTCTCCTGGGAACAGGGCTCCGAGGAGGTGCCCACACTGTGCGAAGACTTGGAAGGTGACCATGGGATTGCCAGGCAGATGGTTCATTCCTGGCAGAGGGAACAGAGCACAGAAGAGTTAAACATCCACTGTTTGGGTGGTCTTAAAGGTAATTAGGTACAGAGCATGGGGGTGAGTGGGGGGAAACCAGATGCAAGATAAATAGGGGTACCGCCCAGCAGGGGCCTGTGGGTTCTGCCCAGGAGCAGCTGAATACCTTGAATACCTCAGGCCCCGCTGCTGCAGCGATTCTAGAAATTCATGCAGCAGAACAAACACTCCACTTTGCAGTTTAGAAAACTCACTGGGCTGTGAGCCTGGAGAGCAGCCTGGAAGCAGAAGACTTGTTTGAAGATTTGTGCAGTGGCACTGGGGGATAGGTTGAGGACCAGAGCCACAACAGTCACAGTGCATCTGGACCTGCAGACACAGATGAGGGAACGGGTGCAGGGACACAGAGGTGAAGTCAGTGTCCTTGGTCACCAGTTGGCCCATGAGGAGGCCGGGGTGAGGCGATAGTGTGGACAGCAGTGACGGCTGCTGTGCCTTGAGCACTTAGCATGTGACCTCGGTGACACACTGAGTCCTCAGCAACAGGTGCTATTCCATCCCAATGTTAGAGCCGAGGAGACGGGCTCAGAGGTTGAAACTCGTCCACAGCACAGGCCCTGCCTCGATTCCTGGCCCACTCTGAAAAGCAAGGTGCTGCCGTGTGCTCTCGTCGTCTCAGCTTCTCAAGAAGCTGAGGCAGGGCCAGCGTGACGCCGTGAGACCCGGCCTCAAGTACCACATACACACGCTTGTCCCCAGTGGCACAGCAAACAAGTCATGAAGCTAGGTTTAAACCTGCAGTCTGTTTCCTGAGCACCTGCGTTTGACCTCTCTTTCCCATTGTCCCTTGGGTTTCTGGCTCGGGCCACTGAGTGAAATGTGGACACTCTTCTCCAGTGCTGGCCACACAGAGGAGTCAGGAGGGAAGGCCAGCCCTGGTTCCACATCCTGTATTAGAGGTGGAAGTGTCTAGGCTCCGGGCGACTTGTTGGGGCTGATATAGAAACACTAGAACTGGTGCAGACTGGGTTTGAAGTAGCCGGAGCTGGCCCTTGCAACCTTGCTTCCTTTCCTGATGTAATGAGTCACACCTGGATTCTAGTTGGCTCTGCAAAGACTTTCCAGCTATTTGATCTTAGATAAGCTCCTCTAAGTCCCCCTGGGCAGGCCCTGTCCCTCTCTGCATAATGAGATTGTTAAGTCTGATCTTCTTGGGGGCTTGTTCCAACATACACTTCTGGCCTCCACCCCCAGAGCTGTGATTCAGTAGTCCCGGGTTCAGCTTGAGAATTTTCATGTCTGGCAAGTTTCACAGGAATGCTGATGCTGTGGAATAGGCGATCACACTTTAAGAACCACTGCCTGGGATCAGCAGATGGCATAATGGTTATATTGCTGGACTCCCACAGAGTCGACAGTGGTTCAAGTCCCGGACTCGGTGGCTTAAAACTCATGCTGGGTGAATGCACCGTGCGCGCCCAAAATCCCAAGAGGATAAGGGCTTGAGGCATGCCCACCCTCTGTAGGGGGCGATTTCTCACTTTCTGTCTCTGTCTGTCTGGTGAGCACATACGCCCTAAAGCAAAAATATCTCTCAAAAACAAAAACAAAAAAAAAAAAACAACCACTGCCCTAGATGTTAACTCCATCCTTTTTGAACACACAAGCTCCAAGTCAGTGGGCAAAGATGCACCGGGTAAAATGCACACTGCAGCGCGAACATCTCCGAGAACATTCAGGAAGCATCACAGAAACAAAAGAGGTGGCACTTTGAAATGACAACAGGCACCCTGCCCCTTCTATTCTCTTCTACTCTTTTATTCTGTCTCCACCGGTGTCCCCAAACTGAGAGTCCCCCACCACGTCACTTGCTCTCCTGTGTGGTTTTTAGGACAGATGAGTCCATGAAGGAACCCCACGTTATAACAAGAGGTCTGCCCTGAGAGGTTGGTAGATTGAAGACACCCTAGACATGGGCACATCCCTTCTCAGATCACAGGCACTCACCAGCTCGAGCTACAACTCCCAGTAGACTCACTGATAGGGCTGACCGTCCAGCTTGGTTGCAGCGACCTGTGGCCTGAGTATTGCCTGTGGGCAAAGAGAAGAAACGCTTCTCTCCCTTGCTCCCCCTCAGATCACCCATCGTGGCCTCCTTGTCCTTCAGAGGCATGTAAGGGAATGTTTCTTCTCCGAAACTCTGGGCCTAAGCAGTGTGGAACTTCCCTGTGACCCTGTGCCAGAGACCTGCTGAAGAAATTCCAGGGAGACAAATGGAGATTACATGGAAATCAATCACACACTGCGGGTGTTCTCTGCAGGCAACTGTTCAATTTTATTTCCTTTTCATTTTTCTCCCCGTTCCCTGGGATCAACTGCGTTAAGAGCTTGACGCCAGCAAGACTTGTGTGATTAAGTGGTAAACTTAAGCTGACTGCTGGCATACTCCATGTGTTTCTGTGGAAATGGGAGAGTGTTCAGGGCAAGGTGGGACAAGAGCTCTCCAGATCACCGAGGATGTGGAGACTGTAAGCATTCTGTCTTTATTTGAGTGTTACCTATAAGTGACTTTAATAATTAGGAAGTGAACTTCTTAATGATTATTCTCCTTAAAACCCAGGCATATTTTTGGCTATTTTCAGCTCATTTAAGAGTTACAGAGATTTATCTCACCAAACTACAATCCTGACAAAAGGGTGGATTGATTAATTAATTCACTGGCTCAGCAACATCATCTGAGATTCATATTCCTGTCATCTTTGTCCTTTGCTATATTCAGCATGTTCTCCTTTGATTAAAGTTTCTCGTCGTACCAAGATAGCTGCTGCAGCTCCAGACATCACATGTAGACACAGAAACCTAGAGGATGGGTAACTGCAGAAAAGCGCATAGTTCTTTTAGGAAGCGAGAAGGAGTTGGAGTGAGAAATGACCTCTGGGGTGACTCAATCCAAGGAACAATCCTTTGTTGAGAAACATTTATCTTTCTTCTTCTGCCTAAGACATTAAGCACAAATGTCTTGTCACGACATAATGAGACTTCTGCAGTATGCCCTTAAATGACCTTTCCTAGGTTTATTTCCTGTTGTTCTGTGCATGCCAAACAGGACCACTCGCTACTGCCAGAGTTTCCCACACTTTTCGTTTCTCCTTCCTTGGCTTGCCAAGGCTGTTCCCTGTATCTGGAATACACCTTGTCCATCATCCCTAACTCTTAACATGAAACATGTCGAGGGACAGAGACAGAAACAGAAACAGCCTTTCTCTTCCTCCTCCCGTCTCTCTTTTTATTACAAAATAAAATCCAAGATAGAGGAAACCATACAAAATAACCATAAATTCAGTTAATTCTTATAAGGTAAACCTCCTGCAGCCACCACCAGCTAAGAGCTGCCCAGTCACGGTGCCCTCTCTCTCCTTGACAGTAATCTTACTTTTACAATAATCACTTTTCTTTTTAAAGACAAATTCATCAACCAAATGTGTGTCCCCAGTGGTTTAGCCTTACCCATTGTTCAATGTAACTTTTTTTTTTTGGAGTGGTTTTGCTATAGGGTGCGTGCGCTCGCCAGAAAGACACAAGAGACAGAGAGACAGAAAGCAAGAAATCACCCTCCGGGGGGGTAGGGGGGATGGCCGTGCTGCAATTCCTTCTTGTCTTGGGGTCTTGGGCACACACACACGCACCCATCGTGAGTTTAAGCCACTGAATCCAGGACTAGAACCGCAGTCGACTACATTGGAGTCCAGTGACAGCCATTACGCTGACTGCTGGTCCTTCAATGTAACTTTTTAAAGAGGTTCTTAATCTACTAGTTACCCCTTCATTTCTTTTTTGTTTTTCCTTTTAAGATATCTATAGAAGAATCCAGACTTGTTGAGTTTTCATCCATTTGGATTTTGCTGATTGCACACTCAGAATGGTTAACATGTTCCTCGGTTTTGTGTATTTTCTGCAAATTGGCAGCTGGATCCGGAGACTAGATCTGATTTACGTCATTGACTCTGCTGGCCTGAATATAGGTGTTGCTGTGCTGTTGTCTCAAAAGGCACGACACATGTCTTACACTATTCTAATTCTGTCCTTTCCTCTCCTTTCTCCTTCCTCTTTTTCTAGTAAATTTGCTGGATTATGGGTTAGTGTTGGTTGTTGAAGGTCATTTTCTTAGTTTTCGGTGTATTCTTTCAATTTGCATTTTCAACTTTTTTTTCTTAAAGTTTGGAAATTTTTTTCTTAATTATAATTTTAGTCTTTATTTTAAAACCTGGCTTCGATTTTCTTCTTCAGGGATTTCTCTTAACTTCATGTTAAATCTTCTTTCACTGACTGTCTTCACCATTTGTTAATTTCTATTGTTTCTTTACCTGTTTCCCCTCCCCATTTCTTTTCCTTTTCTTATTTTTCCAGAAGGTATATACACTCACCAGAAAGACAGAGGGGCAGAAGGAGAGGAAGAAAGCACCTCCTAATGGGATGTGATCACGCTGCAGTCCCTTCTCCTCCATTTCTGCATCACGTCAGGATTTAGGGACATGCGCGCGCACACACACAACGTGCCTGGCATGTTTTTCTAGTCCCTGGACTCAGATTCAAACAGTGTGGTCGGACATGTGAGATCTAACTCTAAGTACCAGGCCACAGGGCCAGCCCACCATCTCTTCTTTATTTTTTAGAGAGATTTTTGCTATAGAGTGCATGCGCTCACCAAAGAGACACAGAGAGATGGAAAGACAGAAAGTAAGAAATCACCCCCCACAGTGGTTGGCCATGCTACAATCCCCTTTCCTTCATTCTTCTCTCAGGATTTTGGACACACATACACATGCTCCTAGCGTGAGTTTTGAGCTGCCAGGTCCAAGACTCGAACCGTGATCGACTACATGGGAGTCCAGTGATGTAACCATTATGCCATCTGCCGGTCCCAGCCACCATCTTTTCTTTGCTTAAAATTTTTTCTTCCTTTCACCTAGTTAGGCCATTAAGTTTTTTGTTTTTGTTTGTTTGTTTGTTTGTTTTAAGTTTCTTGCTTCTTCTAGTTTGCTCTTCATTTAGAATTTTTTTTGGAGAATTTTTTTTGCTATAGGGCGTGTGCGCTCACCAGAAAGACTGAGAGAGACAGAGAGATAGAAAGGGAGAAATCACCCCCCAGGGGGGATGGCCACGCCACAATCCCTTCTCCTCCATTCTCCTCTCAGGATGCACATGCGCCTGGCGTGAGTTTTAAGCCACCGGGTCCGGGACGCGAACCGTGGTCGACTGCGTGGGAGTGCAGCGACATAGCCATTACGCTAACTGCTGGTCCCTATGAAATGACTTTTTAAAATTTCTCATTTTTAGATGAAGTTTTGGCCTCATATTTGAGCCTTTCTGATTTCTATTGTTATTTCATGTCTTGGATATTTTTGTTGTCTCTTAATGAATTTCCAGTTTTATTTATTTTGTGAGCATGTCTTTTGGGCATGCTTTCGTTTAGGAATGCTGTTCTGCTTTCTACTCTGTCTGTTTACTTTTCTTTTTTTAACTTACCAGAAGGCGTGTGTGCTCACTAGGGGAAGGGAGAGAGAGCACGTCCCACATGGGGTGCGTACCTGTGGCCGTTTTAGTGTTCTGCCCTCAGGATTGGTAGCCACTGTTTCCTTCTGTATGGACGCCAATAACTTGCAGACCACACGGTTAACGGTGGTTTGCAATTACCCACTTGTGTTTCAGGGTTCACGAGGATGCCTTGTTGACTAATTCGCTTGTACATGTTTCCCCATGGGTTTTGCATGTAGTTGCTTTGTGTGGTTCTGTGGGTATTCAGAGATAGTGAAAAAGGATTGTTTTCACTGCTATCTTTTTTTCTTCATCATTTTAATTCCTCTAGTGCCTCTTACATATGTAGGAGAGGCTCATAAATATTGAGATCACATTGAAGAATTATTCCTGTTGGCAGAGAAATATTTACCTGAAGATATTTTGTTTTATGCAGCCCTTTTGGTCCCAGTATTCCTGTAGGTTTTTTTTTTTTTTCTCTGTCTTCAGGTAACTTTTATTAATAATGAATTCCTGGAAGGGATAACATCAAATGAGGAATTTTTACTGGCATCTGTAGTTGGAAAAAAGTACATAGCCCTAGGAAGGCAGATTCATTTTTATTTCAAGTCATAATTCTGATCATTTGATAATGACCCTTTGTAGTGTTATGTTAAGAAAGACTCTCTGGCCACATCATAGCTCATGGGTTTATAAATCAGCATGCTTTGGGCGGCAAGTAATAAAACCTAATTCAAAAGGACCAAAACAAGGGCCAGCCTGTGACCTGGTGGTTAAGTCAGCTGGACCCCACATGGCCAACTGTGCAGTTCTAGTCCTGGCACCAGAGACTTGGAAAACAGGCCAAGCATGTGTGCAGACATACCCAAAATCCCAAATGGAAGGAGGAATGGAAGAGAAGGGATTGAGGCCTGACCATGGCCCGTGGTGTGTGTGGAGGAATGCTTTCTCACTTTCCTCCTCTCTAGCTCTGTCTCTCTCCTGGAGGGCATGCACATTCTGACAATTTAAGAAATAAAATAAAAGACCAAAACAATGAGAGCATTTAGTACATTAGAATAATGATAAGTTCAGGGGCAGGACAGGTTCAGCACTGGTTAATGTAGCAGCCCAATAAGGTAACAGAGGACCAGGTTCTCCCTATGTCGCTTTCTATCATCCTCAGCATGACTGCTTTTTGTCCTTCTGAGATACAGGGTTCCTGCTGGAATTCCTGACTAGAGCAGAGAAGACTGTGTGTGTGTGTGTGTGTGTGTGTGTGTGTGTGTGTGTGTGGAGGGGGATGGTCATCTTTTAATCAGCAATGAAATCCTTTACCCAAACCCTGTCTGTAACCCCCAGCAGACCTTTGAGTTGGTTTTATCATCGAACCTGTCCCTAGTAGTACTACCAAGATCGGTCCAGACTCACTCCTCAATTATGGGAGGGAAATATGGCACGTGTGTCAAAATCAGGACTCCGCTAATGTGGCAGAGGGGAAGAGGACTCCCAGATGAGCAGTTGCAGTGCTTGCCACAGTGAGATGTGTCATGATGGGGAACTCTGTCTGCCACGGGCATAGGACAGAGATGTGATGTCACGGGGTCATACATTTGATATGACCCTTTACAGTTTAAAAAAAAAAAGTTTCATATACATTGTCTTTACTCTTGGTCAGAAGTATGCTTGACCTAAGCAGCTCAGTGGTTATCGTTTTTATTTTGTAGTAGGGACAATGAGACAGAGAGGCAGACTGATTTATACAAAAATGGTCGAAAAATGACAGAAGGGTCTCCTGCCTCCAGATCTAGTTTACCTTCTACTTTCTCTCCCTGGTGGCTGGCTAAAAGCCAGATTTCTTTCCCAGGGAGTAGGGGAAGCTTGGAGGTTACTGAGGGCAGGCCTTGTTAGTACCAGTTTGGTGAAGACTTTTCCCTCCAGGAAGCCTTTCTTTCCTACTCTCCCTCCTCCCTTCTCTCCTTCACCTTCTTTTCCAATTCACATACCATAAGTC